TGAACACGGCAGCTGCCATTTTGGAACCAAATTCTTCACAGCAGCAACTTTGTTGAACAGTATCTGACTGCCAATCAAGGCTATCAAATCATCTGAAATACTGCCCACCTCTTTTTATATCATCAAATAACTTATTAAAATCCTCACCATTTGCTAACTTTGAGGGGGAAGGGTTTATCACCTGCAACCAGCCACCTAAGGTGATCAAATGTGAGCTGTCATGTCGTCCATCTTAATATACAGTTTATGCTTTAAACTAAAAACTGTACAACTTTGATTTGCATATCAAATGACTGAAAAATCTGAATTTGTTTACCTTTCCTCTTCCAATCATATCCAACAGTCTCCCTGGTGTTCCACACAGCACATTGCATCCCTTTAATATTTCTCTTATCTGATATCCAGTGCTGACTCCACCATAAACGACTACCGGACGCACACATGTTCTACACCAGTAAAAACAAAATAAGATCAGCCAGGAGAATATGCAACTGAGGAAATCTTCTATTTGTAGAGTGTATTCCACATCCTTTGGGGCAATTAAGGAGTTTCATGATTCTTAAAGCCATTGTCTCAACCTACCCAAAGGCAAACTTCCTGGCCTCCAGGTAGATCTGGTTGATGAGCTCCCTGGTTGGGGCAACAATGATGGCTTCAGGTTCCTGCAGCTCACTGAAGCAACTGGCTGCCACTCCATCTACCATCAGCTGCTGCAGAATGGGGAGCAGGAAGGAGGCCTACAGAGGGAATGATAAATTTAACCTCTACCCACAAACTTCCACCTTTTCCAGGGTTCCTGATGCTCTTTCATCTCACCGTTTTACCAGATCCAGTCTGGGCACAGGCCATGAGATCTCTGCCAGCAGAAATGATTGGAATACCGTGCTTCTGCACAGGAGTCGGCTTCACATAACCAGACTTGCTGACATTTCTTCTCAGGGTCTCACACAATTCTGCCTCATCAAAAGTCTAAACACAACAGATGAAACATACATGAGCTTTAAGAGAGATTTCACACTGATTGCCATAAAGTGTTCAGAATTACTCACTTGTTATGCAAAGACACATGCTCAGTCTACAAATTAAGTGGCAAGAGATGTCCTTTGAGCTGGTAATCAAAACCAACTCAGCCAAAACACAGCATTCAAAGGCCACACGGAGCAGCAGCGAGTTCCAGTAGCTCTGTCCTCTTTTGTGTTTTTTTTCTTTCCGTGCTTTCTGAATTTATCTATCAAGATTGGTGTGTGGTATCTGTTCTTATGGTGTCTTGTTGCTTGCTCTCTGTTTTTGTTCCTTACTGCTGCTGGAACACTGGAATTTCCCCACTGTGGGATCAATAAAGTTCTACCCTACCCTACCCCTAACCGGTCACCAACCATCACCACGTAAAGCATCTTTTAACTACTTTTCTAATGAACTGCCTACTACAAACTTAAAAAGCAGGGAATCTTCAATTATATGAAAAGGTGTAACCCATAACTGTTTAACAACTAATGCATCAATCTAATGATTATGTCAGCACTTTACCATAATAGCCTTTGGTGGGTTTGGTCCACTGACATCCACTGTAATGTCATCGTACTTGTTAAAGTTGATGCCTGTCTCATAGTGGGAAAAAACTGAGTCTTCATCTTCAGAGAGGGCTGGGGGAATATACAGGACCCTTGGTTCTATGGGTCAGAACAAACTCGTGTATGGTATAGAAGTGACAAGCTTGAGCATGCTGCAAGACTGAATATATTCACATTGAACAGTTCATTATCTTACTGTCACTGTCGCTCACATCCTTAGTCTCACGATTTTTGTTGTTCCCTGTATCACATATAAAGCTCAATTAGTGAAAGGTTTAACATTCAAACTAAATGGCAACAGTAAAAAGAAATGTAAAAAAAAGCTACAACCTTCAAAAAAGATTTCTTCATCTTTGCCACGATAGCCTGCAGTTACACAAGTCACACAACCTTAAAATGAAATAGACTTTTCCAAAAGGTATGAAGATTGCTCATTTACCTCCTCGAAAGCCTCCACTGGTGCTCTCGTCACCTCCTTCAACACATTATCAACCATTAATCTGCTCTTCACATTAAGGCTGGATTAAATAACATTTAGTAAACTAACATCTTCAAGGTAAAAGCTGTCCTGCTTCACTACAACAACTCATTAAATTACCTTGTCTGAAACCTCCTCCTCCACGGCCTCTTCCTCCTCTGATTCCTCCTCTAAAGTCTGGTCACAGCATACAACATTGTGTTACATCATTATAAGAAATGTTTCTTTGTGCAAAACTACAAATCCAGGTTTAAAACTGTCAAAACAACAACAATGTATTTTGTACTTGGTGTGTGCACTGGCCAATAAACACACACACAAAATGCCTACCATTGTAACACCCAACGTCATCTTCTGTAAAATTAAGGGAGCTTGTATAAAGTCAGCTAAACTAGCTTTGTGCTAGATGAACTCAAAATTTCAGGGTTGCTGTGTACTTTTTAATAACAAATTTAAGACTTTTTAAGGATCAGCGGGAACCCTGAATTGGCCTGATTCCTGCTCTCAGGACCAGACACGCGAAAACCTTACCATTCATTTCACTCTGATCCATTCTGCCGAATCCTCTGCCACGGCCTTAGAAAAATAAATATTGTATTACAACAACGAAGTTTTAAAATACAATTTTACTAGTAAAATACCAACTGACCAACGTAATCTCCTAATGCAGGTTTTAAGGATAAGGATAATCACCTTTATTGGCCAAGTATGTTACACACAAGGGATTTGTTTCTGGTACAGAACCAATGGCAGCCATCTGTGGCACCACCTCAACCTCAGTGTCTTGCCCAAGAACACTTTGACACGTGGACTGCCGGCACTGAGATTCAAACCTTCAACCTTCTGGTTGGGAGACGACTGCTCTACCACAGCACCACTGTCACCTCCCCAAGATTTAACTGGCGATTCACAACACAATTTGTCCAGTCTACGGTACACCTGTTTTCTCCCTGTCTCATACATGATGCTTCCTGTAATGCCTGTGGTTTAAAAAGCTTGTATTGATACTTTGATTCTGTGAAACTGACTAAATGATATAGAGCCGACTACAGTCGACTTCCTCCAAGAAAAAACATTACCAACTTTTAAAGCCACATTTCAAATGTACAAGGGACTAGGTTTAATATTCCAAACATATTTTCAATCGGGTATTCTTTCAAGTGTAAAACTCCTAAGTAAAAACAGAAATAAAATACTGCAACACAATCATTTTAAATGGATGAACACTTTTTTTTCCGCTGCAGTGAGCTGACCAATACATTTTGTCTATGTTGTTGTTCATGTTTCACCTCGGCCTCCTCTACCTCTGAAACCGCCTCTTTCTCCTCCTGTAATGTTCCAGTGGGCTCCATCTATAAAGAACAAATTGGAAGTAGAGATGTGTAGATGATACTGAAGCTCCAAAGCTTCTTTCAGTCCAGTAGAGCACACTGTTTCAACAGTGTATCAGAGGTTGTATCCAGTGAAGAAAGATAATAAATTAGAAAATCTCAATCTCCTGACCTAATAAGAAAATAATAATTTAACATTATATTTTAGACCAGTGTTACCAATACTCCTTAGGGTAGATATCATCTTTGTTCAACTTTTCTGCACTTACCCCTATCAGGTACGCCACCATCGGTATTCCAGGAATCTCCATGTGTGCCTAAAAATCAGGGCATTCATGTCTAATAATGGTTCTTTTAAACTCAAATACAGTTATCAAATCATGCTAACTGCCTGTACCCTTTATCATCACTGTTAAAAAAGATGACTTTATAAGATGCTAAGACAGAACAATCAATTTTAAACATTAAATATGGATGTACTAGCACTTACAAAAATTCAAATATAGTGACAAATGATCACTAGATAATTTATGTACACAGCAGTAAACCTACCTTCTATTGTGTTGTCGCAGGTGAATGTAATACTGCTACAAGTAGTCCCCTGTAAAGATGGATAAATGTAAATGAAGTGATGTCTTGCTCCACAGCAAGAGCAACAATGCGGGACATGCAGTCAGTACAGAAAGAATTCAGACCCTTTCAAGTTTTCCACATTTTATGTTTAATGCTCACATTAAAATAGATTCAATTTTCCCTCATCAATCTACACACAATACTCC